GCATAATGAAAATTCAGTGCCCCTGGATACGGGGGTTGACACACACACACACACACGCTGTGGAAGAGGGGGTGGGTGAGGGTCAAATCCCCCGCAGTGGCAGTGTGATTATCACAGTATCCCTGGATCAGGCTTACAACCTTACAGTCTGCACAGCGAGGGAGCGAAGGCGAATGAGCTCTGACTATTCTATGGCGCGCAGTGGTACAGTGAATGCGGGCTGAATCTTGAGCCAAAAGTACAAGTGAGTTAAGCTCTACAAGCATGAAGATACGAACGAACGATATTTGCAAGTAAAAGGTGCTACACGTGTATAGCGTAGACACGCCTAGGGGAACCTAGGACCCTACAAAACACAAGGGGGGGTTGGGTGGGGGGCTAAAGGCAACGTTGTGACAACATGAATCATGAATCTGGACAGGATGTTCACCAGATTTTGAGTTTTGTTCGCCGTGTTGGCGTTGGCACCAGAATAAAGACGATCTTCTGACGAATCTGGGTCATAAGTTGTCGGACCGACTGTAATGATGATGCTGGAGGATGTACGGTTTCGCAGCACTTGGATGTGAACATCGCAACGATTCTTTCATTGTTTTCATGTACTACATGCTGCAACAAACCGTTCACATCAATGCGAAACACAGTGACACAGGGGATATTCATCATTGTTGACCACGTGAAGATCTGGCAAACGTCTGCAACCACACGCGCGGAAACGAGCCCGGCGGGATGATTTTGCTATCCTGGTTCTGTTCAACAAACTATGTAATTCTCCAGTATGTGTACAAACTACAAAAATAAACTCATCAAAAACTACTATATACATCATAATCTGAATAATCACATGGTTCTAACTCGGCATCACCAAAGTTTATACCAAAGAATTGATTTACAGTCAAAGCATCACCTTCAAAAGCTTGAAGTAACTTATTAGTAGGACATACAAAAATCAAATTATAACATGTTCTATCATGTTTTGGCGCAAATAATTTTTTACCAGTGCCCGGTAATTCACCCCTAATCATCATAGGATTAGTTGATGTAATCTCTTCTATTATGTTATCAGTGTCATGTTCATCATCTTCTACATTATTACCGTTATTTTCCTGTTTGGATTTCAACATGTGCATTCTCTACAATCTCATAATTTACAGTGGGTAATATAGTATCTTCAGTGTTTTTACCTGCTCTCCATCCTCCTATATCATTGTGGACTTCTACAAGCTCCCTTGCTTTGTCTAAATCAAGGGTATGAATGACAAATGCATCAGTTTGAACACTCTAAACTGGAATACAATTTCTGATTAGTCTATAGTATGCTTCATTCATTTTGAAGTTGTCATGCTGTAATGGCAATTAGTTATATATATTATATCTAAATACATTTCTTAACCTTGTCGTGTCCCTTAAATCAAGTATGTAGTAGCTTTGTTTGATTTCTTGTTCTTCATTTTCTTCATGTACTTCTACATCACTAATTTTGTGTAATCGTCCTCCATATTCAGCTTAATAGTCCATTTGCTTCACTTACACTTTTGAATACCAAAGCCCAATGGACCAACACACAAACAACACCAAAAAGCAAAAGGTTGAGGAGACTTTGTGTTGGTTTTCCTCGTATTTTTCTAGTCCTTTTTGGTTTTGAAAGCGAAAAAAAAAAAAAAAAACACCTTGTGTTTGTTTGTTTTTTGGGGGCTTATGGTTGAAGAATCCTATCAAAAACCAAAAAACACAATGTTTTTTGGTTTCTTAGTATGTGATATTTGGTTTTACTGATACCAAATCATCAAAAAACAAAAAACATTCTGTGATTGTTTGCTCTTTTGCATGAATATGTTTAACAAAAAACAAATAAAAACTTTTTTGTTTTTGCCTTTCAAAACAATAAAACAAAAACACCACAAGGAATACCAAAAAAGATAGGCTGAACCAAAAACTATCCTCAAAGTTTTGTCTGTTTGTTTCTTGTGTTTTTGTTGTTTGTTTTTTGTGATTTTTGTTTGTTTGGTTTGTTAGTTTGTTGCTTTTTGTCATTGGGGATATCTTGTGATTTTCTATGTGTGTCCTTTCATGTGATGTGTTTTTCTTAATTGTGACGTACCTTATTTTTTGATAGATGATTTTTATACACAAAAATATGCCTAAAACTCTGCAAATACCAGTAGTTTTTATGAAAGGTCTTTTTTGGGAGGGGGTACCAGGTACCATATATATATATGCCTCCATACATTGACCCCTGACTGAAACCAGTCTAGTGAAAATATGCCGTGCGTGGACCGTTTGTGCTTTTTCAGGTCATGGACTGTTTAGGCCATGAACTAATGTAATGTAGACTCTTGACTAATAGCCTCCCCCAATTGGATTGAAAAACCTCTTCTACCCATCGCGCTTAAGGGGAGCTTGTTAATCAAGAGTCGCCAGTGATTGTGTGTAGATTGCGTCGATGTTGTCTTTTCTGGTACCGCCACCGATGGGCAAAGCCCATCAGCTCTCTGGTTGCCTCCCATCTACTCAAAAATCGGAAAACAAATGGGAAAAGTGGTAGGTCAAAAAGCCATCAAACAGCTTGATCTGTGAGATCCACCCTATCATCAACTATCATCCCCTATAGGCCCTATCATGCCCTATCAACTTAGAGAATCAATGAGAATAGCGCACTGAATCCAGACGGTCAGCCACTGCTCTTCGTACAACTGACCTGTCACTGCCAGTGCGAGCTTCTTGAGCTATCAACATTCACTTCCGGTCACAGCAACGGAGGGTGCCGCAAGGCATCCAAAAGCAAAGGGCTCCATTCACTTCCAGTCCCTGAAAGATCGTGAACCGAACCCTTCCACCGGTTGGTTTTGAGTGGAGCAACCAATCCCCCCAAAAGGTGTTGCAGGTTACCCAGTGAGCGGGTTCCGACCGAGCGAACCCTCTCCGCTGAGCGGAAGTAGAGCGGATTGCCGATCCGACTGGTCCGACCGGTCCTTTGGTTGATACAAATGGCAATGGATGTAAACACGGGGATGGCATATGATCTAAATGCAGAAAAACAAACGATCTCAAAGGCAACTGGGGGGTTGAAACTGAGGAAGATTCATGAAAGTTCTCTTTTTTTGTCTACTAGAGGGTTGCAATCTACTTGATGTTTTCACCTCAAGTGTTTACTGGCTTGGTGTCCTTTCTTTCTTTATTTATTTCTTGCTTTGTTCTTTCTTTGGAAGAGGTCCACCCTCAACCTCGCCCATGGCCGGAACTAAGAGCTCTGAGCCAATCTTTGCAGCCTGGTTGACGCCCAGCTTGCACTGCGAGGAGCATGAAATGGAACTGGAACACGTGTGTTTTTTGCACCAAAGGCAAACATCAAGAAACCATCAGGACGCACAGGAGGTTGACATCTGAGACACATCGAAGGGTTTCATTCATCAACAACTTGTTGGTGTGCCGATTAGGATTGTCAATGATCAGAATCCGTTGTTCCTCGGCCAAACCATTCCAAAGTGGTGATGTCCTGGTGCCTCAGCAAGTTTAGGACTGCTCAGCATAGGCCAAATGGGGCCAACCCCGCTTGGGTCCTCCAAAGGCAGAAAGCAAACAATGTAGACATATCTAGACTCTTGATTAACTTCACTCCCCACGCATTTGGATTGAACAACCTCTTCATTGGAGTCTTTTGGATTGAAGAGTCTACATTAGAGTCTATATAACAATTCTGAAGGATCTATGTGTCCGGCAGAAATATGACATAGGTGTTGAGAGGCAAAGGGGCAGTCCTCTTGCGGAAATCTTCTCTGGATGTTCTGCCGCAGGAGCTCTCAGGTTGTTCAAGAAGTGACTTCAGTCAAAACAGACTGTGTCTGGTTGACCTGTTTAAATGAGTCTAGAATGGTTCTTGCAGTGTGGAACTGGAGGCTCTGAACATATATAATATAGTGAAAATGGTTGGAGTGGAGAGTGGAGAGGTTCATCACTGATCTACAATGTTTGCACATGTCTGCTTTACTTGTTTTTGCTGGGGGGTTGACAAGCCATTCTTTACTGGTGGTTCTAGAAAGGAATGCTCTAGCAAAATTCTAGCAATCCATAGTTGTTCAACAAACAGGTAAAGTAACTCCACTTGAATAAATCTATCCAATTCTCCTTTATCATCCTTGTGTTTCCCTTGTTCGCTTGCTAGGGCGTCACCACTCGAGCTGTATTCCAGATCGCGCTCGAGATCTCGAGCTCGCGATTTGCGCAGCAAGCCGCCACTGTGGCCACCAGCTACGCTGGTGTCAGGGATCAGCAGAAGGTACTGAAGCAAAACTAGGATACCTTGGTTGACCTACCGACCTGACGGTCGTTGGCGAACGATGAACTGGTCGGGCGAACATGGTGGGTCACCACCCATCCACAAGTCACTTCAGAAGCAAATCCTCATCAGTTTCACGGCAGTCCATGATCTGTTGTTTTTTTCCTGGTTTTACAGTTCAGCAAAAAGCTGTTTGAGAAAAACCCTCAAATCCTTCGTCCATATATAAAATCCAACGGCTTCCAGCTACATTGAAAAGATTTGAAAAGAAAGCGGATGCCAGGTATGTGTAGCTTGCTTAAATGATTCAAGCGAACCTGACGGGTCCTCATCAGCGCTACCACAAGGAAAGAGTAATTAACTTATCTGTGATCTTCTGTGATCTGGATCTAGAATCCGCGGGCAACAAAGGATAGCAAAACAAAAACATCGATCGGCCCCATCTCGTTTTTGGAATTCATCCGCTGAATTCGACCGCAGAATCCCTCGACATCCAACTCGCAGGAACCCGACGCACCAACTTGGTCACACTGTGCAGGGAAAATGCGCCCAGTTTCACAGCACAGTCACCGGGGGGGGGGCAGTGTCTGTTTCTTTCTAAACGTGGTCTTGGGTTGGAGGCCATCGCTCTTAGGTTGGAGGCCATCGCTCTTGGAAACAAACGAAAACGAACAGAAACGGGGTCACACGCTCCGACGATATCGTGGTTTTGTCAGCGTTCCACAAACCTTTCTCCTCCACCCGCTGTAGACAGCGCCACGCAGCCCACAATGAAACTCTCTGGTGCGTTTGGTATTGGTAGAAAGGTAGGTGATGGTAGGTGGATCCATATTGATCCGGAGTATTTCTACAATTCTCTATATATCGGGAATCAGGAAGTGGATTGGGGGCTAACCGCTTCCTATAATCCTCTGATCAAAGCAGAAGCAAACTCAACAACTCTTGGACGTGAAAGGACTAAGACTCTGTTTCCTTCTGGTTGATGAAAAAACGATGCATGAAGCCTGAAGATCGTTCTAGCTAACACCTCTTCATGCTGCTTCCAGGTTCCCACCATTTCACATGCACGAATTGCTTCACCAGCGTCTTTCACCGGCCTCTGGGCGATGTGAAGCTTCGCCCGGGAGGGGGGATGGTTCTTGTCCCCTTCGCACAACAGGGAGTAGAGACTGTTTGGAACCACCCAGAAGGGAACTATAGGGAACTAAGGAAATCAGCCACTGCAGAAACCACTAGAACAGCCTTGTGCAATCGTCCTCTTTTTCAAGAGTCAGAAAAGCACATCATTGCCAGGACATCACGACAAAACTCCCACACAAAGAACGAGATACATAGACACAGACATACTCGCTAGCACGGACATGGAGTTCACCTGTTTATAGTGGAGTTCATGCTCCTCCCAGTGGCCATGCCCACTTCCATGCCATCGTGAGCGGGGGATCGGCACTCCGACCGAGCCGACGTTCGGATTCGTCATGCGACGACCGTCGTCTCTTCTCGTCATGGTGCCGAGTCGGCACCCAAAACAGACCATATACAGTAGATAATCCATATAGTCATAGTACTTGTACCAGATCATTCACATGAATTTGATCTGAGAATATCGTCTTGAAGTGCTTCAAGAACCCTCTCCTCTCCTCTCAAGTGAATGGTTCACAAAAGCGGCCTCACCAGCCAAAGAGAGCCACCAAGGAAGCCCAAGCGCCTTTCGGGGTGTCCTGGCCGTGAACATGGGATCCAGCATCCGACTTAACCATGGTGAGGAAGTGCATGAATGTATAGACTGTTTATTAAAATAGAACTCCCCATAACCATCCAGGCAGGGTGGATTAATTAGGGGGGTTTATCTATAGCAATCAACACCTGCTTGTTTCTTAGGTGCCTCTCGTACCTCTGGTACTATACTTGGGAGTCCAATTCAGAACTCCTCTTCCTGCTTCACCCGCCCCTCCATGACCCTATGTTACAGGGGGTTCTCCCTCTTCAAAGACACCAAATCACACCCACCGGATCTCCTCCTCGGAGCCTGAGCCCTCGTCCGAGACCGAGCCAGCTGAGGCATCACTGGCGCCCGCGCCAGCTGAGGCATCACTGGCGGACTCGCTGGAGGCTTCACTGGAGGCGCTCTCATCCTGCGCCCGGCGGGTGACAGCATGCAAGATCTTGGTGTTGCAAATATGCTGCCAGGTTGAAACTTGCAGTTTCTGTAACACCAACCCAAAGGCAAAAACACCATTCAGTTTCAGTAGGAGGCTTGCAAATTGTTCATCGACGGAGTGTCCGACCCAGGTTTCTGACCACACCCTGCAGCAGCCAGCAATTGAGTCGGTGTGGAAGAACATGGAACTCTGGCGATGTCACGACAGGGTCGTGTTGTGGATGATTGCATCGTCCCGCTTCTTTATCCAAAACAGTCCATGTATGCAGATTTACATACATTGAGGGTGGTTTCAGGCGTCAATGTAGGTAAATATGCAATGATTCGGTGTCTGACAAATAGTATCGCGGACCTGTCCCGTCCAATCGATTCATAGTTGATATTCCAATCGCATCTCTCTCTCTCTCTACACTACTTCTGGTCTGCAGCCCGTGCCACAAATGTGCATTTGCAGACATGGCAGACATGGGCTTTATGGCCTTTACTACATAGTTACATAGTTTTGTTGTGGTGTCATCGTTTGTTGCAGTGATGTCGGTTGTTGCCAATGTTGTCCTTTGTGCAACTTCTTATAAAACGTGTAATTCTCTCGGTTGAGGGGGATCAGGGGAAATCGAAGCTCTTGCAAGGGGGGCGGTCCAGAAGTTGTTTGAAACGAGCCCATCCTGATGAACCTGAATCAAACCAAGCAAACACCGGCCGTAGATTTCAGCACCGCCGGTCTTTTAGGATACACCTTTTGTGGCTCAAAACAAATGCACCTTCCTTCACAGCAACGCTCGAGCCTGAGGTAATATAGAATCTTAATGAAGCCCTACCATTTGGTAGCATAGCAATAAATCAGCAGACACACCTTGTTTATGTCTTGAGCCAAATAAGTTTGTCATGGGTTTTTATACCCTGTAGGTGAACTGTACATGTAGGGTTTAACCCAAAACGTTTCACGTCCCCCCCCCGGCTTTGACAAGGCAAACGAAGATCACCGTTGTCCCAGTGGAACCCCCCCAGCCAGGGTTCCGTAGGGACAAAATCAAGTTCAGGGCTTTCAAGCCGGGTAAGAAACGTTGGTAGATGCCAATCAAAAGTCAAAACATTCTGAATTAAGGGTCGTTTCTTTACAAGGACCCAGCCCACCCACCAACTTATGGACAACCTTCACTTTTGCCGCGCAATGCGCAGGTCTGGCTCTCTGGCCGACGCAAGCTCCATGCCACATGCCAGTCAATTGCAATATCAACAAAGGAGAGCAAGTAGGACCCAGCAAGGTAGCATGGAAAAAAGGAGCGAGAGTCCTCAGTCCTTAGCACAGGGACCGCGCAATGCGCAGGTAAACCCCGAACCTCCAACAAAGGAAACTGTTTAGGGAAGTCCGATGTGAAGGCGGGCGAGTGCCTCAAGGAATTTCACCTTAGCAAGCACCTTAGTGAATACATCAGCTAATTGATCAGCTGACTCGGTGTACCTCAGCTGGAAACCGAGATCCATGATCGTTTCATGGAGCGCGGCAATTGACAGTTTATGCGTGCGATTTAAGGATTTCAATCGGGCACTATACCCTGCGCGCAAAATGCGTATGCACGCCTGGTTGTCTTCGTGGATTGTAACAGGGATTTCCCGACCAAAAACCATGTTAAGAACAGTTTGTACTGGGATGGCGTCGTTGAAAAGACCATCATTATTGAGCGCCACAAGTTCGGACTCTGTTGTTGATTTCGACACGCACTGTTGCCGTCCGGACGTCCAAGAGATTGGGAAGGAAGTGCCGTCCGGGCATTCAATGCAAAGGTAAATCCCTGTGTGTGACTTCATGGTGCATATGTCCCCTCCCAAATCTGCATCAGTATACAAGTGAAGAGATATGGTGGAAGGATTCCCTTTGACAAAGCAATGAACACCATACTCGATAGTGGAATTTAGATAGCAAGCTAGGCGGTAAAGCATTTTGTCGTGATTGATGCTCCATCTAGTGATTCCTGATGCAAGTCGCGTCACTGCATGGGATACGTCTGGTCTGCTCAACCGAGCAAGCCATAGCATTTTCATCACGACAGATGCTGACTTGTCGCCAAGAGCCCCTGAAACTTCCCAATCATTGGCGTTCAACTCCGACTCGTTCAAAAATGGTGTTGATACTTTCTTTAGAACTGCACACCCAGAAGCATGAGTGTACAAATCAACAGATTGTTGACAATAGTTGGGCATTGACAGGAACAACCACTTACCATGTTGATCTTCAGTGATCCTGTGATCTCTCCCGAGAAATCTTCCAGGGATTGTTACACCCCCCACCTCCACCTTATTTTTCAAACGTTCCCAAAAATTCTGGACCTCTGAAACTCCTCCAGAGCAAACAATGTCGTCTACATAGGCTGCAACGAGGACTCGCGTTTGCTCATTCCACCAAAGCGATGGAAATGATTCCACACCCACGAAACCTAGGTCCTTCGTCATGATTTGGGACAAATGGATGAACCAGTCATCACCAGCCTCTGGATGACCGTATAAAGCGCGGCGGAGCCGCACTGCGACACGTCTAAATCGTGTGCTCCATTCTGGCAACCAGCACATTCGGGGTAATATTACCCATGTAGGAATGGGGGTGCGGAGGAGGGCCTGAAGATCGGCCTTTTTGGCGTCTGCGATAAAGACACAACAATTTGTGAGCATGCCATAAAACATTACAATGGAAATTGTCTGGATGCTAGCAGGTTGTGAATGCAACTCTCGAAACTTAGCTGGGAGACCGTCTTGGTTTCGGGTGTCATCACCTCGGAAAACCAACCTTCCCTTGCGTTGGCTCAACGATGGTCCCAACTCATCATTCTTTATTGATCCAATTGCCATCACTTCAGCAATGTGGATCTCCTGCTGCTCCTTTCTAGCCCACTGCTTGAGTTCATCAACCTCACAAGCGGTCGAGTCATCCCAGACTCCCATTGCCCTGACCTCTGAGGCTTCCTCCTCGATAGCTTTGATTGCTTCAGGATCATCTTGAATTTCTTTTCTTGTCAGGACCCTATGCACAAGACCCATGGCATGTTGCAAACAAGATCCGGAATTCAACTGCTCCGCAATTCTTTCCCACTTTTTGTTCATATGTTCATCGTTTCCTGCGATTACAGTAGGCATTGCGGGAACATTTTTCAAAAAATTCTCAGGGAAGAGAGAACACAAAATTCAAACGGCCATGGGGCGGTTGTAGAACCCGCTCAAATAGGAAAGTTTGCCCCCTTCAAGACGGTCGTGTTTGTGCCCCTTGGGATGTTTGCAAACCTTGTTGTTCATTTCAACGGCAACGCGTTCATTCGTTGTCACAAGCCTCCATGGTTTGAGAGGTTTCTTTCCATGGATGGTTAGGTCAAACGCGCAGCCACAAGGATATGCAGAAATCATGCTGTGCTTTGTGATCATATCTTGCAGTTCCTCTACCTCAGTCCAACCTGAGCACCAACGAGGCCACTCAAACGTGCTCGAACCTCCGCTCTCAAGCGCGACATCTGTCAAAGAAGAGAAGTTGCTGACCAACAATTTTGATTCCTGCCTCCTATTAACTAAGTCATCCTGAAAACCAGCGTCCAGGACACGTCGGTTCAAGTGTTGCCACGAGCACCAGGCGGTGCATGGCAGGGAACCCCATAAATGAATAGAATCCCCCAGGTCTTTTCTTTCATGAGCCCACATCATGACTTGGTTCATGTCGTTGGGATCCGAAAGATCGCACAAATCTTTGGAAAGACCTATGTACGAAATTCCTTGTTCGTTTGCGATTCCTTTGAGCGCGCTATCTTTTGAACAGCAAAACTCAACAAACCAACAAGTTGCGTTTGCAGCTCTTTGTCTCCTGACCTTTGGTTTAGGGGCGGCTGCCATGGCTTTTGCCAGTTTCATTGAAAGAGACTCCTCGTTCACCCCCCCTTTCTCCAGCGCATCAAAGAAGATGGAGGCAACTACATCTGAACCCCTTTCAAAAGTGTGAATCACATCTGATATCTTTTTACCGCTAGCGATCATGGCCCCTGTACCTTCAAACATGTGGCCATGCTCAAATTCGTTTGGGTCACCTAAGTCATCAGGATCCCCTATTGATGAAGGAAGTGGTGACGCTGTTCGTGAAGTAGGCGCATAGTCACAGCTTTCCGCGCCATCACTTAGCTCACCCACCTCCAATGCATCGCCCCCCTTTACCGCGCCATGCGCAGGTTCTGAAGAACATGACGCTGAGGCCATTTTGCCGGACGTCTCCCTTCCATCTGCAGTTGGCGGGTGATCTTTGTCCTTGCCTAATGGCTCACATAAGTCGATCAATTTGTTGAATCGGTCCCTACACTCTTTGGTGTGTGAGTATGTCCCTTCGCTACATCCTAAGCAATGACGCGTGCGACCATGGACTCCGATTCGCAAAACGGTTATTGCTCTATTTCGTTTCTTTGGGCCAAGGTCATCGTCTTTGGGCTTGGGTGCGGACTCGCCACCTTGGGTGCCAGGTTCAGACTTCCCACGATGATCCCTGTCCTTCTCCTCTTCAACCTGAAGGATTTCCTCCAAGTCAGCAGGAGGCTCAAGTTCTTGAACGTGAATCGACTCTTTGGGCGACTCCGGTGTTTTCAGTGGGAACTGCCATTTTCCGTTTGGAAACGCAAGAGTTCTTACAACATATTCCCTCAGAACACCTTTCAAGCAGTAGTCCAACGGCCAAACCCGATGGTTTCCTTTGTATTTCATTCCATTTATGAGCTCAGCTCCAAGATACAAGGCAGGGTGACCCTTTGGTTCAAAACTTTTCCCACCCGGTTCCCGAAACCAAACCAACGACCCAAACGGTATCAAGTAACCTTCGTAAGGGTACCCGTGAAAAGCTTCAAAACAAGTAACAGGAGGATCAATACTAGCATGTGATATCGTGTTGACCGAGTATGCGAACTCAAAGTACTTTACAGCTAGAGGCCACAAATCCGGGTCCATACCAGCATGGAG